TGAAAAATGCCAAACACCTTCAATATCCACTCACTTCAATGAACTCTGAAGGTCCTCAGAACCTCATATAACTGGGGTGTATAAAACACGTGTTATTTATTTACCAAAATTTAAAGTAATCCACGATTTATGAAATGGGAAAAAAGAAAACCAGATTTTTGGACAAGGGAATTAAATAACTGATTTCATTACTTAGCTCTTTTTGGAAAAATACTTAGATGAAACCACAATATTTCAAATGTTTTCAAGGCTAGAAAAGCAAGTGCATATTGAAGGGCTCACATAATGGCAAGTGCCTGCTGAAGGCGTATTTCCTCCACTCTAACGTGCAGTACTCCCGTATAGAAAGGTCAGACAAACAGGTTCCAAGCTCTACTTTTCCTCAGATGGACCTTTAGCAGTGTTACACGTACAAAAATAAAGCCACACCAAACTTACAGCACAGATAAATTAAAATACATCTGTGTAAACAGGCTCCCCCTGTCCTATTATACACAGAATGCACATCTGGATAGGCATGTTTTGCACAACGTTCTACCCTAATGTAACTGAAAAAAGCTGAGGTGCTATGGCCCAGAAACAGACTTTATTAATAAAAACTGTAGCATACTGTTAAACCATGGAAGCGCTACCAGCTGTAACTGTGACACATCAGGAATTCATACTTCTACACATCTTTTTCACAGAGCTTAGATGTAAAAAAGAAGGAAGGAGCTTGCAAAATAACCCAGAGAAGCTGCACTCCTGAAGAAAAGGAACATTCAAGATTGTTATTAATTAAGGTTTTAAGGTTCATGTTCACATCAGGTTTTCCTCAAGGAAATTACATTGATTCAGTGGGATTGGTGCTAATACCTCTGAACCTGTGAACATCAGCATCGAGTTCTTAATACGTACTGATTTTCATACAACCAAGAAACAGGCAGAAATGGTCCTGGTAACGTCTATCTTAAACTACTGAAGGCACTGGTATGGATTTTCTTGTAAGAAGAAAAATATCTAAATTTGTCAACTTATTTTGTCTACCCCTAAACAAAGCAAAATATAGAAGAAAAACAGACAAGGTTTCCAGAAACCGTGTCCATATTGGGGGATTTTTCCAGCAGTTTTGTCAGTGCTACATCTCCCTTCTACATACCCATAAGCCAAAATAGTTGCGCCAGCAGAATTTCATCATCCAGGCCTGACCTCAAATTAGAGTCTGACTCTTAAAACCTAAGCAAAGAAGAAATGGGAGGCTCTGAATGACACTGAAATATATCACTGAAGTATTTTCATTATTCAAACAGGCTGATTTGAGAGGAAAACAACAGAAAAGATAGCCTGCACAGCAGTAGAGCTTTTCTGAATCACAAATTCAAATGTAGATAGTAGTTAATTCAATCTTTTACAAAGGTGGAAGGTAGAAAGAAAGACGATGCATTGGTCAAAAGTCATCCTATAACTTAAGGGAAAAGAGGAAGATAATGTCTCCCAGTGATAAACAAAGAATAGTGAAAGAGCAGGAAATGACAACTGAGTTTGGCAAATAGTCTAGCATAAAGATGATTTCATCCCATGGGGAGAAGCCAGACAGACTCACAGGACAGTTTCAGAAAAAAAAAGCCATATTTTAAGACCAAGGAGCATTTAAAACTATTACTGAAAAACCCACTTGTCACAATCTGGCACCAGAGCTAGTATTTAAGTACCACATTAAATGCATTTGCCTATTACTACCATCATTCAAAGTAGGTAGGCGTAGGAAACCTAAGGCTGTACTGCTGTACTGCAACCAGCCCGTATCCCCGCATCATACACACTGTAGCAGTATGTGTGCCATACCAAGAGTACCTGAAAGCGCTGGTTTGCTATCAGAAAGAACAACATTCCCCAAACAAACCAAGAGGCAATGAAAATATGAGACAACTGTCTACATTTTCAGGGATACCAGTTTCAGATTGCACATAATTTGAGTTGCAAATGCTTTTACCTCTGAGAAACCTACTACTCCCACCAGTAGAGTGCGTAAGTCTGCCTAAGAAAGCCCAGCAGCCGGTCTCTAAATTACTTACAAGGAGCAATTTGTACAGCCAGAATAATCTCAAAATAAAGCAATTCATTTGAGTGAAAAAAAAAAGGAAACAAAAAAAAATCCCTTCCCCCAGTGATTTCCACTTTGCTAAATTTATTATGTGGCTGCAAATTAACACATCACCTGCACTAGCTATCACAAGCCTCTGAGCCAGTCTCAGAACTTGCTTTAATAAACAGCTGCAAGTAGTGGAAGAAATATGTAAACATCTCTTTTGTTTTTCTGTGCCATTGTGTCAGCTATTCTACATGTCTTTGAAGGTGCTCCAAAATCAGCATGGTTCTGCTTTTCCCTTTTTCTCCTTTTGGGAAGAGGAAGAAACAGAGAAGGACAGGCTGGCAACAGAGGGCTACCTCTGTGCTTGCTGTGCTTTTGACAGTAAAGCTGAGAGTGTTCAAATTCATTTTGCACAGGCTCTTCTGTCAGGACAAAAGAAACCACTGCTGGTGGTTAAAAATGCAAAAGGTTTTGATTGTAATGGCTTGACAATCAGCCAAAGATATGACTAGGGGGAACAACACAGCAAGGCAGCTATGACCAAAATGGAAGAAACAAGGAAAAACACATGGCTTGACTTCAGAGCAGAAAATTGACTTAGGCTTTGCATAAACGATAGCATACCTCCAAGCTTGCTTGATCCACAGCCTGCCTGGAATGCGAACATGTAGTCTAAAAGCAGAGCCTATTAAAAGGCATAATGTTTCTAAACGGCATCTGTTATGTACTAATAAGCATTACTTAAAGGACACAGGCCTTAAATTGCTACCAAACGTGCACTTATCTGAAACTGTTGCAAGGCAATCATTACAAAATGTCACATGACACCACGGGAATTTGAATAATATAAAATGTTTTTATTTAGTTTGGCTTGAAACCATTAGGCAGGAAAACTATGGAGGCACTTTCTGAGATTCTGAAACTGTGCAACTTCACAGGAATGAAACACTAGCAAGAATTACATCAGCGGAGCCATTTGCCATCTGTTGTCAGTAATACTATAAAGACCAGCCACCAGACAGCAGTTTCAAAGGTTACAAACACAACGTTTTTAAGCATCCACAGACCTCCTGGTAACTGAGCAGGACAGAGTTTACTTCAGATATGTGCAACCTGAGGGTCTGCAAATCGTTCTGCAAAGACAACACAGCAGAACTGTGAATTGCCATGAGAGGTGTTTGGGAGTCTCTCAGCATGCAACCATTATACAACGTGGAAAGCACATACCAGCTTGTTCTACGTAGGTTCTTATAATACACTCACAACCATAATGTCTGCACACCTCCCACTTGCAAATTTAAACTGGCTAGACTTTCTCTTGTGCTGTTTGTTTTCTCATACTTTCCCCCAAGGGAAGGAGCATATTCTCTGCAGTGCTATTATAGACAGGGACTTGGGTTTGTTTGCTGGGTTTTGGACTGTATTTTTTCTTTTGAGGAAAGTAGTTAGGGTTTTGTTTCCTGTTTTCTTTCCTTCTAGACCACAACTACATATTCATGTTAAAGAAAGCAAGGTTTTAGTAACTTGCCTTTCCTGTGGCATGGAAAGCAAGGAGGTTGTGACAGCCCTTTCCTCTTAGATACACACACTCCTCAGCCTGAGTAAAATTCTGCCTGTTCCAAGCATAAGATTTTAGTTACACTGGAGGAGTATGATTGTTGATCAGTCTCATCTTAGAGCTTTGAGTAGCTTTTCTAGATGTGGGCACCACATTCATGATATACAGCACCTATGTGCTACCTGAATTTTGTGGTTCCACCTTCCAGGCTGCTGACCTCCGGCCTGTAAACTGATTAACATGGATTTCATGGAGGGCAGGGAGGTTTCCATCTTCCTAGAGTGACAGATGGAAATTCAAGGCTTCATTAATGCAATTGTTACACTACACATACAGGTTTTTCATCTGGTCACTATTTCTCAGGCTCCAGCAAGTCGTGTATACATTGTTACTCACTGAATGTTCCTCCTAGCTTTACTGATGGTTAATTCGTACACATGCAAAGTGTTCTAAAATCAAACAGAACTTGCGACAAGGCTGAATTTAAAACAAGAGCCTCAAGTTCTAGGTCAACAGCTGTCCTGTTTTTCAATGGTGAGGTTTGCCTAGGATCTATAAAGGAGATTAGAAACCTGGAAGCGTAAGCAATCTTGCCCTGTGAAGAACAGTTACAGGAATAGACCTCAAGATCTAGTTGTAGCATCTCAATTACAGCAGGACATAAACTGAAGAGCACCATTTGCACAAGAAGATCTAACGGCTGACTCCAATATGCTTTTAAAGTGTGCTGTATTGTACACTCAACCTATTGCCAATTGTTCCATAATCAAACATAGGTGTATCCAATTAAGTAACTAAGCCAGAACTCAGACAATACCTAAAAACAAGAGCAGCTGTCCCAGAAAATGAAGGGGGTGGAAGAACTACTCTAAACATTCGAGAGTAATGAAACAGAGGAAAAATGCAGACATCAATGGAAGTGCCCAACAGTACAATGCCTGCTTAGACATGAAAAGCCAAGTCTCACTCATCTAGATAGTTTAAAACATCACCAGAACTCAGTCTTCCAAACCCCCCCCCCCCAAAAAAAAAAAAAAACCAACAGCATTATTACAAATGTTTGACTTTCGTAAGTGGCTGATAGGGACAAAAAAAAACAGAGCAATCTGACTACGGTGCATTTAGCCATGAGCAGCTAGAGGAACTAATGAACAACATCATTATTTTACTGAAGGGGATGAAGTAGGTGCTTTAGATAAATGGTAGCAACTTAAAATGTGTTTCAGAAGATAAATTCACTTTCTCGCCATTTACCTGCTAGCGTGACAAATTAAGAAAGAAGAATATAAAAACAGACCAGGAGGGAAAGCAGAGCAAAAGCTAACTGAGGTGATGCAACGGGCCCTTATCCAAACAAGTGTGTGAACAGAGATTCTTGGAAGTGCTCCTAGTCAAATATAAACCAGGAACGCTAACTCCCTTGGAAATCCACGGCAGAGCATGGGCAGAAGATCCACCTGTCCAAAAACCTGCTCCTTTACCAAGCCCGAGGAGCACTGCCATTTGGGAACTGACAACGCCTGCTGTTTCAAAGCAGTAAGTCCGCCAGGTAGGGAATGACGGAGTTCTCTCTATTGGCCTCTGCTGGGCTGAGCAGCTCTTTGCCCACTGTCAGAAACACCAGAACCTTAACTTCTGCTGAAAGAAGGTGAGGGGTGGGTGGCTTTTTTCCCCAAAAATTCATCATTAGAGACCGTGTATTTCTTGTTCTAGCCAGCCCATGATCAGCGAAGTTTTTACTGAAAGCAAAGGACTCTGCAATATAAAAAGCCTTTGTATCTCTACACCAAAATAACCCAACTAATTATAGTAGTCAAGAAGAACCGTGTTTACTGCTCCTTTTGTCCCTGTTAAACCATGCTTCTTTTGTCAAGCCATGTTTTCGCTCAGTTTGGGTAAACACTTGCTGATGCTGCCCGAGATACGACCTTAAAAATGTAGTGGTATTTTTACACAGCATTCCCTCAGCTCCTCAGTAGTTCTCAAGTCCCAAATCTGTGTACCTGCGTTGTGAGACCCCTGAACACACGCTGGGAACCAGCGCTGGGTGAGGCTTTCGACAGCTGGCACAAAGCCGTCAGGAATCCCGTAGCCATGTTCAGCACGGCTCTGGATTAGCCTGAACGTGTAAGAGTTACCCGAACACTCGGGAAAAGGGCAAACCCCCCTGCAGCAGCCCGCTCGGGCTGCCCCGTCCCCCTCAGGCGGTGCTCTGGGGACACGGAGGTGAAGCTCCGGGGCTCGCCCGGTCACGACCGCAGGCGGCTGGGCAAAGTTTTCCTGGAAAGGCCCGAGTGTTTCGCGGCGCCTCGGCCGCTTGTGGAAAACCTGCCCGCGGGGAGCCCGCCATTTCGGGCTCCTCACAGGAGGCGCCGGCCCCGCCGTGTCCATCCCCTGCGGGTGGGCAACCGGGCCAGCATGAGGGAGTCGAAGCGAGAGGGGCGGCCACCGCCGTGAGGAGGCCGGGCCGCGGGGGAGCTCCCGAGCGCTCGCCCTCCCTTCTTACCAGCGGCGGCTCTTCCTCCTCCCGCGGCCTCCATCACTTCCTCTGAGGCGGGCTCCCACCGCCGCGGCCCGCCCCTGCCCCTGCCCCGCACGGGATGGCGGCGCGGGAAGCCCCTGAGGGGCGGAGGGGAGCTGACAGGAAAAGCGGCGGTCGGAGGGCGGCTGCGGAGCCAAAGGGAGTGGGACGGCGGTGGGGAGCGGTGTGTGGGGCAGCGGAGGCCGGAGGGGCGAGGGGAAGCCGGCTGCGAGCTGCAGGCTGAGGGCAGCCCTCGTCCTCTGCCATCACAGACCGGCCTCGGGCGGTGCCGGCACAGGGCTGTGCCTTAGCTTCCCAAACTGCGAGAACAAGTTCCAAACCCTTCATCCCAAAGGCACACAATGGCAAACCGTAGAGCTGACACCAGCTTCTTTAAGCTCGGGTGGCAGCAGCACGAGTTTTATGAGGGGAAATAAGTAAAAATGACATTTTTCGTAGTATGCTTCAGCGATGTGCCGTAGTGATTTGTTGTCGATATGAAAGAGGCTTTCGGAAGACATGGGCAAGCAGCCTGCTGTTTGTTATTACAAGTGGTAAAATTGAGGTATAGAGACTAAAATGAACACACAGATGTTAACATTATAAAGTAGGATCCAGGTGTTGACTGTTGGGAGCTTCCTGGGTGTCAGATAGATCACTTCGTTACCCTTAAAGCAGCGGATCTAACTTAGCAAAGTCAAAGAGGTGAACAGTGCATGGAACTAGCGGTACGTTTGCAAAGAAACCAGCTTACCTTTGTACTTATGGCTGTGACCTGGAGACTGTTTCGGGACAGCATCTTGAGCGCTTCCATTAATGAGTACTCCGTTGCCTGTCAGCACAGTGACCAAAAGCGCCATGAGGCTGCTCCTCCTTTGAACGGTTTAAGACACACAGTGAAGTGGATTTGTGTTTTCTGTCCTCAACAGGAAAACGTTCTCTCAGCCCATACACGGATGCTCCCAAAAAAGCAGATGTCACGCAACCACGCTCCACGGCACATCACTGGATCTCAGCACAATCTCATGATCCTTAGGAGCTTTCTACCTTCCACCACACCCTGTGTCGTGCTCGGCCCTGTTTGATGCAGCATTGCTGGGTGACCTTGCCTGAGGTTTACTGAGAACACTGTTAAGCCATGAGAAAGTACACGAGCTAAAGGCATGAAAGACAAGAAACTTAAGTCGCAGAAGCACTGCTGTTGGCTGGTGAGAGATTCAAGGGAAAAGATACAGGAGGAAAGAAAAGCAGAAAATGTGAAGATAACTCAGTAATGCTGAGGATCAGCCCACACCAACAAAAGACACAGACTGACTTTCCCCAGCATACTGGAAACTTCCTCAGCTAAGACTCCTCAGTTTTCTTACAAGGAGTTGTAAGCATATTACTGTTTACCCTCATAACCTGTTAGTCCTAGCTATCTATTTGGCATATTAGCTGATAAAGACTTACTTAAAGTGTGTATATATCCTGCTTGCAGGGTTTGTGTACGGTAAATGACACCTGAACAACAGCAACCCACTGATTGTGAGTTGCATGCTCTCCTGCTAAAGTACTTTCTCCCTGCATTAAACTATTATAAACAATTAAAAATAAAATCTAACAATCCATCCATACACAGCAGTTGGCTTTTGCTAATACTGCAAGAAGACAGGAGCTGAAATGGCAACAACCCCCTAACAGCTTGGCCACATTTATATTACATACAATTTCAGTTTTTTCCATTATTGCTAAGCATTGAGTATACACTAGTAGCATCAATTGCAAAAGAGCTAATATAAATAAGGCAACAACATAAAATATATAATACTTTCTATCCAAAAGAAAGGTAAGTGAATTTGCCATTACGTTTTTCCATTTACCATTTCTGTGGAGTTTGCTTTAGAAGAGGCATTGCTCCACGGGGAACAGTGAGCGTTACACTGAAATGTTTGTCACCTCTCTTTTTGTGACATTGCATTCCATCTACTTAAAGACTATGTTAGGTCTTTCCTGAGGATCATTTATTTTTATTAGAATGGAAAAGAAATATAGAATGTTAGAGCCTGAAATTTCTATTTAAAGTCCCATTACAGTTTAATGTTAAATAGCATAGCAGCTTGATTTCTCCTTCCTCTCATTAAATGTTAAACAGCTGAGATAAAAAAAATGGAATATATTAAACACCTAAGAGTTTAAAGCATTGGTCAATGCCTGCCAATAACATGAAATAAAAAATCTATATGCAAGTAATAATAAAAGAGATAAAAATTAAAGAGCTGTTTCTAAATGAAGAGCCATATTCAATTCTTGTTACCATCAGTACTAAGAAGCTGTTTGAGCAGTGTTCTGGCAGTTCTGCAATGTGGTCAGAATGCACTTGCAGAAAATACATTTTTCTCTAACTCAGCAGTTCAGAAAATTTTAAAATGAATCAGACAACTCTACAGAAAAATATTCAAGGTGATAACCAGAGCTTTCATAGTCAAGTTGCTTCCATTTCTTCTTTACCTCAGGATGAGTGCCATGCCAATCACATTTGCGTATAGAGAGAAAAACAACCAGCGTTCAGCTGAGTCAGCTCTGGCTGTGACTTGTCTTCAAATAGCCAGGGCTTGGTTTCTTAATTATGGATGGGGAGATTTATTTGCACAGGCCTCAGATATCCAGTGACTTGTGTATCTGTTGTTATGGGCACATACATGCGAGTGAGTGCTAATAGTAAAGCTACAGTCATACTGTCACAATGTAATGCAGTGCATTATTCCTCCATTTATAATACTGTGCACATAAAGCTTGGGAACAGAAACAATAAATTAAATCAGTGCAAACCCTAATTTTGGTGCACTTTGTCAAATTCCTAATTTATTCATACCACTAGCATTCTTCCCAGACTTGCACAAGCATACAGCATCACTAGAAATATCTTGGAATCTTTACTACCAGATCAGCAAACCTCTACTTACGGAAAGGGACTAAGCTGTTGAAGGCAATGCTCAACTGATGAGTTATTAGAAAGTGGCTTGGAGGGATTTCCCCCAGATTTCTATCAGTTTCTTCATAAAGGATTAGTGACATAATCTTCCTTGTTCCATCTTTATTTCCGCTTTCTTTTGTGAGCTGTGAAAACTTTGAAAACTAGTCCTATAGTCCAAAAAGGCAATATCAATCGCTTGAGAGTGCACAGATGTCATAGACTTCTATCTACTCTATGCAAGAATATCTAATAAAATTCATAATATTTTACAGCATTCAAGCAATACCTTTCTTATAGATCTATAAAGCAGCTAAATTGTACTAAACAAAATACATAATTTCTCATGCAGGAAATTAATTAAGCAACTGTAGACCTTGAATATTGCTTTATTCCTCTCATATGCTTTGTTCATTAGACCATCCTGTATTCAGATTTAACAAAACCCGAAACTGGAGAATTTTAGATGTAATTCACTGATGTCAGTGGCAGATTTTGACTTATTTAAAGCTGCAGAGGACTGTTTGCTCTATGCGCAGCTCCTTCAGCCACAGCAGTGAATAAAGGTTAATTTGGCAAGTTATATTAGTCAGGGGAAGAAATGGCTGCTGGAATCAAGGTCTTTTGATTTAGAAGAATCCACAAATTTCTTTGTGTCTCAGCACAGGAGGATTTAAATGACTGACACAGCCCATAGCTCCAAACCTCACTCAGGCACGAACCAGTCCAACAGATTTCTTCAGAGATTTTTTTTGTCCTTAAGGTCTCACAATTACCAGCTCCCTTGAGATTATATAGTGGCTTTCTATTCTTAGCATATTTCTCCCCTCCCTCTCTCTCTCACATGCACACACATACACTTCCTACTCAAAACAAGACCTGGCAAAACCCTCTGCCCACATAGTTATAATTCCCAAGAGAACTTGCATATGCTTTTGTTTTGGGCAGTGACAATGTGCATATGTTTTGATTTTGGGCCCTCCCCTATTGGTTCGCATGCTTCAGTTTAATGAAGACAGACCAGTTATTAAACTCACCAGTTTCAGCAGGCCATAACCCAGCTTCCAGACTTCATTTGACCTTGCAAGTTGGAATGAGATTTTGTAACACGTTGCCTATTCAGGGATATTACTGAGTAAATGTTTTGGCTTAGCAAATACACACGTTTTACTTACGGTGTTTTGAAGGAGCTTGAACTATTTTATAAAGAGCTTAAGATAAAGATCAGGGTGAGTAAACTGGCTAACTGCTATGAAGAGGAACGGCAAAGTTACCCCTGAATTAAGTCAGTAAGAAAAAGTCTATGAACAGTAGAAATGGACAGATACGTTTCTTGTAGTGAAGTCATTCCTCACGATTGAAGTGAATTACAGCTGTGCTAAAAATAGAATATCCACAGAGATAAAATAAAATTGATTCAATTAATTTTTGGTTTACTTGTACATAAACAGGTTTCTGAGGAAAAATGTGGCCGGATTTTTGCAAGAAGTTTCTTTAAACCTTTCCTGTCCCTTCCTAAGTACTATTGCATGCCTAAAGAAGTTTGGGACAGTCCCGGTCAACCAGCCTGTCAGTCACACTTCTATCTTTAATACAGAGACGTAACAATGTTTGCTTCGAAAGTGACATAAATCACAAGCCATCCCTGTCATGTGAATGCAGACATCACAGTTGGAAGAAAAAAGGGTGCCCCAAATAAAGAAGTCTGCCACAGATATATGAATTATAATACTGTTGGAACTGAAAGACAACAAGATTCCACCTTCTGGAGCACAGATTTCATGGATTCCAATTCCAGCACTGTGGTTGTAACTGGTAAGATTTTTATTTTCTTCTCCTTGTAGCCAGAGATGGTATGCACACATGCTTGGTCTTTGTCGTAAACAGTTCCCTGGAAGGAAAAACAGTAGCAAATGGTCATACTAACAATTCCAAATGGAAAATAACTTGCTGCGGTGCCTTCCTAAGAAAAATCAGATGCATGTCAGGAAACAAGACTGCAGTCTGCCCTCTTTACTGCCACCCAGTTTGGTTTGTTGTTCATTCTCTCCATGTCTTAATCTTTGTTGACATTCTCTCTGATCCAAACCACATAGCTGAAGGCAGTGCAGGCTAGTATGAGATAAAGCTTACCCAAAAGGAGGTCTGAAGCAAGAAAACCAGGTTGCATCACAATGTCACATAGTCGGTGTCCAGAATTAGAGCAGCACATGGCAAGTTTCAAGGTCTCAGTTTCATGGCAAAGTAAGGGAGTTTTAAACAGGAGATGCTGCCTCATCACTGCTAAACTAAACCATTAAATTTAAATATACCAAAGGAGCATGCCTGAACATGCAGCACGAGGGACCAAATTGGGAATTTCTCTTGCTGGCTATCACTACTGCTGAATCATAGTGGCAGAAGCACCAGCTAGAGAATTCTGAGCTTTAAAAGGTTAAAGCTCTTAAGGAATGCTGCTACTCACTACTCCTCTAGTTGCCACTGGCTCGTTTAAAGGCAATGATTACACATATCTTGACATGTGAGTTGCTGGATAATTTTCCACTGCAGGTCATCTGAGGACATAGGAATGAGGTTGAAGCTACATCAAAGAGATTTGCATCTTGCTGTTTTCAATTAAACACCTTTTTTTTTTAAGTTTCAATAGCTGCAAGATGAGCAGAACTAGTTTGGCTTGCTCTAGACATCACTGCAGTTGAACCAAGTGGGAGTGTAGGAGAGAACAAGATGTTTTTGCTAACCTCTTAACAGGCTGACAGTCTGGTTCTGTCCTAAGGTATTTATGGCACATACCCTTGATGGGCACACTTCTTAACATCCTGTTAGGTTTTTCCTCCCCTTAGATAGCCATTGAGGTGCAGAAACCTACTTGTTCAAATGGTTTTAGACTAGTGTGTCCCATTACGGACACAGGTGCATCTTTAAGCTATTACAGAGATTATCATAGCTTGTCTCTGTCACATTTTCACCTGCTCATAACATAAACCTGCTGGCACTGAGCCCAGTTTGTTATATAGTGCCTAATAATACCCAGACAGTTAGCTCTCCAAGTTGTTGCAGGTAGTTCTGTACTGTAAAACTCTTACCTTAAGTCATTTTTCATGGAGTGATTTTATCCTAAGCAGTAGTTTCTTATGGCCACCACTGAGATGCCTGTATTTAATTGTGAGATATTTAATAACCTTATACATAATTCTATATAATATACATAACTTCAGTTCTGCACACACAGGTACAGAAACATGCACAACAGCTACAGCTTCAAAATGGAGTAGGTGTCACCCTAATTTTGCTCTGAGAATAGAGTGGGACTAATGAGGTTTTATCTTCCCTGTTAATGTAAAATGAGTACTATTTCCCTTGTTCCCTCTCCATAGTACAAACTTAAACCTGGGGAAAACATTGTCAAAAATATTAGCACCATCAGCCTTTTCATAATATTAAAGAGAAAAGATGAAGCAGTTATGAAATAAGTATTAAGAAATTAAGAAATGCTTGAAGTCTAGCATTAAGCTGTCATAAGCCTGCATTTAGGATTAATTGTCCCCACATGCAAGTACCTTTCACTGTGAAAAATAGCAGTCATATACTGTCAAGTATTTATTTGTCCATTTAAGGATTTTTAAGTATTTAAGAGTTACAGCATTGCAACCATTTTACAAACTAGTTTTCCAGCCACCCAGTATCTAGGACTTGGTAACATTCTGGATTGAGAGGAGTAACTGAGATTAATGAAGATCGTGGAGTTTTCCATCAAATGTTTTAATGATAAATTGCCTGTCTAGCTCAAAATGAGGGCTTTTTTCCTTTTTATTTAAAAAAAGCCTTTCACATAAAAGGGTGCATAAAATTAAATGTAGTACTTTGGATTCGAGAGGTCCTTTTGCCTTTCCTCTTCTCTTTTCCTCTGGGGAAAAAGCAAAGGAAGAGATTTTGCCCAGCACCACAAAAAGCACATTTTCCCTGAAAGTTTTCACTGGGATTAAAAAGAAAAAAAACGAAACCCAACATCAAATGAAATAAAATGTTACTTTTTCAATCATTTTCATTAAATATGCCTATCTTCAAGAGCTTTAACCGTAAGAATGGCACTTACAAGAATTGACTGTGGCCTGGGAGTATTTAACACCAGATGTTTTAGTAGGGGGGTTTCTATGGGTGATGAACCTTGCCCAAAATCATTTCTTTGATCTGCCCTATTGGCTCTGGCGCATTTACCAGCTTCAGTTAAAGTTATCTCATAAGAAAGCGTTGACATGAATGAAGATTGTGAGATCTGTTCTTATATCAGTGCATATGAAAAATTAAAATACTAATTCCTGAAGTGCTATAAAGGCTAAATCCTACCTAAAAACTCAACCTCCATAACCAAAAATATGAAGATAAAGAACAAATATGTGTGTGCATGCGTGTCTGCACCTGATCTATGATTGCAGAGCAAGCATAGGTTAAGCACTTTTCTTTCTTTTCAGGTTTTGGTCCCTTTAGACAATACTTGGTTAATCCTAGCTGGGAAGCAGTGAAGGTAAGCATGGAAAAAAAGGAAGGGAGGTGTTTTATTTTGTGGCAATCCTGATACAATTGTTTTCAGGCTTTCCATTCCCTTCAAAAAAGTTATTTCGCATGACTCATTAAACAGAATTATGCCTCATGGAGCAGACTCCCAACATAGAAGAAAGGAGAATTAAGAAGTAAAACATTGTTTTATTGGCAAGATTTTTTTTGTGTGCTATTTAAGCACTTTTCAAAATATTATTCTTGAGTTTGAAAAAAGATATTTTTACCCAGGGTGCCTTTTCTGCACCTATTGCATATACCACAGGTTATCTCTGCTCAGTAAACACATGATCTCATACCACAACTCATTTTTACATGCCTGTGTGAGGTGTTTTCCTTCTCATTAGTTGTAACCTGTTGAGCTCTGCCTCCTTCGGGAACACAAAGCCTAAAGCACACCAATTCTAAGTGTGTTTTCATGTTTCGTCTTTGGCTTCCACTTTCAAATGACCAAAGACCAAAGCTATAGCAACTCCACCAACCCATATGTGTTTTCTATTCTGGCCTTGTTGGGTGAAGAATACTGAGTGAAACTTTGTATTTGGTAGAATAAATTCATTACCCACTCAGAATCATGGGGGATGTTATCCCTGTAGCCTAACAGGAGACAAAAGTACTTCTGTGATACCTTTCCACACCCCAGTCATCACAGGAGACCCATAAATTACCTTGAGTCCAACTTGACACGTCCCTGAAACCACAGATATTTGTCAGTTGACAATGTTCTTGCTCATTATTTCCTGATTCATATTAGTTCCAATTTTGGGTGCAAGATCATCCTCTTTGGGCTGAAAATAAACCATGTTCTTTATCTGCAAGCAAAACAGCCTAAACCAAAACACACCCATGAGTTTTCTGTAATGCTATGCGCTGGCTGCTCCAGCATTCCATAGTGAAACAGATGTCAGTCCTTGTGTATGAAGGAGAACAAATCCATTTCCCTCTGATGTGACCCCCTCTGCATGGAATTAATGTGTATTCATATTGGGGATGCTGCATTGGTTTCCTGTTCTCTGGCAAAGGTGGTTAATCCAGGCAAATCAGGGAAATTTGCTGCAAATCTGGAAGTACTTTGAATTTCGATAGGCTTCTCCATGCTAAATAGCAATCTTACGGTATTGTTCCATTAGCCTTGTTCACAAGGGTAGCCCTACGGTCTTCAGGAAGCCTGTGCACATGTATTAAAGATAGCAAAATTTAGCATCAACATCTGGAAGTAATCCTGCCTTGGCTTGGGGTTCCTGCATGGATCACTAAAGTGGCATAAAGCCCTCCCACCGAGTCTGAGAACTGAGCAAGAGTGCACTCAAACTCATCCTCAAGAAAGTACTGAGCAGCCAGACCAGAGCCTTGCTGATGGGATCAGCTGTTCTCCTGAACCTCTTCTCTTGCTGTAGGGAGCATCAGAGACTGATCCAGTGAGCACACAGCCTATTCCAGTAGTCACATCCCTTCTGTGCCCTCACTGGGCACTCAGAAAAATGGTTGTGGGATATTGTTTCTCTTACAAATTAACCATTTACTACACTTCTGGGGGAATAAGCTGATCTCCATTTTCTGAAATCCTCAGGCATCAGGTGATAAATGTTAGTAAAACTCTCCAAATCTTGATTTCTGCTGGTTTAGAAAGAGCATTTGTTCTGCATTCTTGGATTTCTTCCGGATACTACCATAAGTAGCAGTGCATTCTCCCACGTTGCCTGTTTTATATGAAGATACAATTTTCCAAGAGTGTGAGGAGAACCCTGTTGTTTTGCATGAACCCAAGTTCTTATCACAGTGCAAGATGACTCATACACAAATCATTCAACAGCATCTCATCCCTGGATTTCTCATTCCTCAGCAAGTACCCCTTGAGTGTTCAGGGAAAACAAGAGGCAAATGGATCAGAAAGTACAGGTGAACCTGTCAATTCAGGGTCACCGAGAAAAGCTTCAGAGCTTTTATAGTCACTGGCACAGGGCCCAACATGGGTGTCTAGCACTAGTAAGACAGCTTCTCTTTCAGAAGCCTGTCTCACTCAGTTTTTCATGGTTCTCATAACTCCGTTCACCTGAAATACCCTCCTACAACACACACGAACGCTGAAACACTGAACTCTGCGGGACGTGCGCCCTGAAGGAAAACACCACCGAGTATTTACCCTGTGTTTGCTGACAGTTCATGTTGAGTTACTGTGATGTGTTAGTTTGTCAGCACCACACAGGACCCTCAGAATCCCAGATTCTCCAAATTATTTCTTCCATGTTACACATTGATGGTCAAACCTAATAACCTGTGATCTGACTTGTGTCTCCTCCAGAAACTGTCTTCAACTTGGCAGTTAAATAACCTATCAGGGCAGTCTACCACCAAGGTCAAAGTCACCAGTTAATAGGGCACAAATGTAAGCTGAGTGACAACATTCACAGTAATTAAACTGTTAGCCCAAAGAACAGGTCACATTTCCAACTGCTTCTGGGAACTATGTTTGCTATCGGGAGATGAGGATCAGATCTCTGGGTGCAGTTTTTCATCCTGCCACTGACCATGTGGTCTTTGGAAATGTGTCATTTAATCTCTCTGTCTCTCTCCCTCTCTGCTTTAGTTTCCTCATCTGTGAAACTAAGAAGACATTGCTATTTAGTGCCTTCATCTCTGTTCTGGAACTTTCTTACACCCCTAAAGCTAGTTTTTTCCTGGAGGTTTCTAAAAGTTCAAGATGCTTCTAACACAACCACTGCACCCGAGCACAACTGTGCTGTGCCAATCGCTTCTCTTTGGGGAGGGCTGTGTAACCACATGGGCCAGAGTTCCAGTGGACCAGGACTGTAACCACAACTCACCAATGACTCAAGGTCATCAGCTGATAACGCTGGATTTCATACCTCTGTCAGAAGAGCCTCCCAACAAAGAATCTGCCTGCTTTCTTTGGAACCACTCTTCCCACAAGAAAGTCCTCCAAAACTTGTGTCCTCCTTTGAAGTTCTCTTTGCTCTTTCAACTACAAAAGAGAGGCACTTGTTTACTGAATGACCTCACCAGTGTGAGCTCCATTTTCCAGATGCAGTTATCCTCCTGTAACCATCTTCAGTCTCTCACCTCAAATGCAAAACTAGTTTTGGTTAAGGCTGAGACAAAGAATGATCTATTTTTTTGTTCCGTGTTTGCACAACATGTGCTCTAATGGGGCATAAGCCCATGGTTAGGATTCTTGGACAACAAAGTAATACACATTATTGACAACATGCTGAAACAGCTGAGGACACAGGGAACTGTCTTCCTTTGACACACATTCCCAGCCCTTTACTCTTGGTCTGGTACCGGTTTTGTCCTGCACTGAAGCATTTCTGTGTGTCTCTCCCATGACAAATGGTGACAACAGAACACCAATCCAGCCAGCATGGGAGAAGAATGGCCTAACAACTTACTGTGGGTCTCCACATTCCATACCAAAGTGATGGGGAGCTGAGACCTCTGAGCTTTACAGCTAAAAAGGAAGAATCTCATTCAATGTTAAAGATGCTTTAGAAAAGAAAATGCTAATTGTGAACCAGCTGGGGTTTGCTTTTTTGGAAGCTAAGACAGAACAGAATTCTTAAACAAGATGATGCAATGGGCTCTCAAAGACTGTCAGCGCCCAGAGCAAGACAGGCTGGCACTGTTCTCTGAATGTGTTTACTTCCCTGCAGGCATTGTTTCCTTGCTTGTGTCAAATAGTTTATTGAGCACAGCTAATCAATGCTTCCGCTGACAAGAAAATTGGAACAGTTTATATAGGAAGCCAGTGTTGAAGGGCAAATTTCCCAGTTAGCTACAGCTTAGAACTCTGGGTCTTGTCCACCCAAGTATCCCTAGAGAAATGAAAACAACATGTAATAGAGAAGTTACAGGGTTTGGGGCTAATCACAGACCTCTGCTGCTTTTTGCCTGTGCCCCCCTAGAAACTTCCTCTGTACCCTCCTTGGGTAGTGCTCTACTCAAATGCAACAGGAACTTTCAGCTGTCCTTTTACTTTTCAGCAACAAAGCTTTCCTTCTGCATCCTGCCACTGCAGCCTCCCACCTTCTACTTAGAGGCTTACTATCAGAGTCTTGTTTGTTAGCCCTGTTCTACTGACAACATAATTTCAAGTCATTTCCACATGACCTTGATTCTCCAGAACATCTTTTACCACCTGGCCAACCCGCTGCTTTGAGGGTGCCTTTGTTTCTTCCACCTCAATTCTGGGCATAACTTTTGTTTCCTTTGGGAAAAGGTCCCATGTGGAAATTCCACTCTACCTAAGTGACAGAGAAGTAACACCCAAATAACTGACATTTCCTTTTACTAGAAAAACATTCTAGACCAGCAAAGAAATGAAACCCAGCCTAAATGTGCCCTTTCTCATGTTGACAGACGCCTCCAGCACAGCTTACCTGAACCAGTTCAAGCCAGCAGATTGCTGGAGTGGACAGCTAATGGGGATTGTCCTTCATTTGTGTCCCTTGATAGTGCAGGTTTATCTACTAGAGCTTTCAGAGGAACAGATCTTACCTACATCAAAGCTTATTTAGAAGCTTCCAAGTGTGGACCTGTATGTCACTGGTCCAGCCCCTTAGCAATAACCACTCCCACCCACTGCAGACTGAGCATCCCTTTGGAAAACACATTTTAGTCTCTTCCAGTCAAAGAAGGGGGAGCTACCATTAAATAAATGAATCTCACTGCTGAGAGTGGTTAGGAACCGTGTGCTTAGACAGCATTACCTTGCTTTTTCAGGTGTTTCCACCACAGTTGCATCAGCCTGATTCTTTATCGCAGTCTGAGAAATCCAATGCTCTCACAATTCCATGCTTTCTTTGTAAACACAGGAGCTGTCCAAGAGAGGCCTTGGCAATAACATAGATCTCCGTATCATGCAGCTGCCGGTGGCTTACCGAAAAGCGAAGGAGCAAGTCTTCAAGATATGGACAACTCTTCAGCCACTGGTGAGTAACTGGGAGGTTACACAGATCTTCCCCTTCATTTATGAGTATCATTATTCTGAGTGGATCTTTAAAAAGATCCCCAGAAGAGTGCTGTGCAAGACGTGCATCAGACAACGCTGGGAAGTGACTATTAAAACTGCGGTAGAGGGTTCAAACTGAAAGTTGGAGCACACTGATTATAGCGTGCTAGTTTAACCCCATGCCATTTGAACAGTGTTGAACAAAGGGAAACAAAAGCCCACCATAAACGGCAAAAAAGGTACCAAGCTCTGAAGTTCTGAGCTGCCAAAACCAGAGTAAAGCATGATTTTATTCTCACTTAGAATCTCTTATCGAAGTTTTCTTCAGGCACGAGCTACACCAAGACTCCCCACCTTGCAGGTGGTGTTTCACACCATGCTTGGCACTACTGCATCGCACCCTGTTCCAAAACAGGTCTCATTTTTAATTTCCTGTTATTCACTCTGGTGGGAAAAACCAGCTTACAGTTCACGTTGGGCTGGCTTCAGCCGCCAAAGGACTCATCATCCTTGAGCAGTGTGGGAAGAACAAAGGCTACCAAGAGATGGATGCTTGTGGTTTTCTCCCAGAAGGTGCCTGTTGCGTGCTAGATGGCCCGGAAAAGATTGAATCTACAATTAATATGAAGATGCTCTGGAAAAGCATTTCAGTGGAAGGGATTGACATCTTTTCCAGAGATGCAGGAAGGTAAAGCATTGCGTGTCAGGGGCTCACAGGGAAAGCAGAAGTAACTCCACAGACTCATTTAACCTTGAGGAATCTTTGCAATGGCTTTTCCTCCAACCAAAATCACTTCAAAGCAAAGTCTTCAGAGGGGCAACACATATGAAATTGGGATGAATTTAAATTCTATGTAAAACAGAAAACCTACAGCCAGTAGGTATTTTGCCACAGATTTCTAAATTCCAAAAGGAACAAGTTTCAACACAGCACACCCTGTGATTAATAACCCCAGTAAACCTGAGCTATTAAGAGTCTAAAAGCAATACCGACCAGTAGCAGATTTCAATCTGGTTTTCCCAACTGGGAGGATACAAAATGTAAACACATACACCAAGGAACAGAGCAATTACAGGTACCTTCGGACCCAGGTCTGTGAGCTCGTCATGTGTTTCAGCACTACTGTAGCAATTATCTCAGTTTTCATTTAAAAGAGGAACAAACCAGTAAACGATCTCATCTTGAAAAACTAAAAATCAGCCGATCTTGGCCCTTAATGTCAGGATTTGCACCTGCAAGTTAACAAGTAGGGAGCTAAGACAAACCCCCTCCTCATAGCGGGACTAAACTTACACTAAAAGCTGTATGTGTTCCATGGTGGTATCTTCCACTAGGCTGTGCGTTACCTTTCCCATCTCACCCAGTTTATAGGAGCCTCGAAAAGAAAGCATGTCTTGTTTTTTATGTAAAGCTCCTTCGGGGAGGGTGTCTGAGAAACCAAACCATCAGATAAGGAACATTTGTTTCCCAAACTTGGTTTCTTTCAGCACTTCCTTTCCTCACTAAGCAAATGCATTGTTAATAATTTCATAAACCAGATCTGGTTTGGCTACTTAACGAACATTTAAATTTAATCAGGTTACTGTTCTGTAATTCAGGTTTCTGGTTTTGTTACCTTAACACTGCAGGTACGTCTGTGATTACACCTACTACGCTTCTCTGTACTACGGCAATGGAAGAGCAGCTTTTATCCATGTGCCTCCATTATCCCCATCAGTAACAGCAGACTTTCTAGGAAAAGCATTACAGAGCATTATCTTAGAAATGCTGAAACAGTGTGGGGAGGGGACAGGGTAAGATGGATCACAGAAGAAAAAAGAGGATTTCTCCAGGGAAACAAAAGCCCATTCCTCAAGCATCATGTAAGAAGGACAACAGAGAAACCTAACAACACAGACAGCTGATGAGGCTTTGCGCCACCATAGTGCCTTATTTTAACCAGAGGAACTGGGAACACCAAGTTAGTGCCATTTGTTTTTGCCACTGCCTTTTCCAATGACTGTTGCAGGAAACTGTTAAGCACGTGCTGCTGGATGCCTCATCTCTGGACTGCTGCAAGGGTAAACAAGCAGGTTTTCCTCAAATAAAGAAGTAAGTAAATAGAAAGGCTTGCCTTATTCAAGGGAACTACCTACTGCAACCCAGTAGTCAAGGTCCCATCAGAAAAGGGTCCACAAGCTCAGTGTCACTGGAAAATACCTTTGATTTCAAGATTATGGCAGCACTGACCTCTGCTAAGATTTACTCAGAGGAGCACAGTTAAATGCAGCCTACAAGGGCAGAGGGAGACCAGAGGTGTTTTGCTCTGAGTTTTCCAACCTGTACTCGCTTTGCGTAAGGAGCAACAAATTCAGAAGCAGGCAAATGCATACAGAATTCTTTTATTTAACTTAAATCATGTAGTACTGAAACTACTAGAAAAAAGCAGAGTAAGAGAAACTAAAGGAGCCTTAGCTTCAGCCATTCAAAATAGACAAAGTTTCTTCTTTTCATAATGTAAAGAATCCCGAGTATATCGCAATAACAGGAATAAATTCTTACAACAGAATATACAAAAACATTTTGAATTTTTTTTTCTCTACTGATTCATTTTAATATAAACACAGGAATTTCTTTAGGAATAATTTATACACAGCAAGTCTTTTTCTGTAATAAATTGGCCATGGTATTGTTTCATTTTCTCTTAAAAAAATTTAAACAAGAAAAGACTGGAAAATGTATTTGCAACTGCATCCATTCCTTAGCACTTTCTAGTTTTGTTTTTGTCCCAGAGGTAGACAAACTCTGGCCAATCCTTTCATCTCAAACCTCACTGGTCCAGCAAACAGAAGAGCTGAGTTTTGGACAGTATCTATATCATGGGAACCCTTCGGCAATGCGGTCAGGCAGCTCCGGGGAGCGAGGGTGAAGGGATCATCAGTACTCTTAAATAACAATAAATAGGGACCCTGCCTTGCTCGTTTCAACAAAGCTCCAAATGGTGCTCAGCAGCTTCAGAGGCTGAGCACAAACTTTCAGAGTGGGAAGAAATCAGCAAACAGTTCTTCAATAGCAATTACAAAAACCACCTTCCCTCTCTCTCTTCCATAGTCGCATCCTTCAGACCACGTGGCCACTGCAAGGCTGGTCCTGCACTGCGCATGTCAGCCTGGGTAGCAGCAAGACCCGTTCTGTTTCCCCAACCAGTGAGGTTCTTGTAATCCATTAAGCCAACTGCCCTAGACAGTAACGTGAAATGACCAGCTAAGATGATCCCACCCCAACCAGAGGGCTCTGGAAGACCAGGATACTGAAGATACAGAACATTCCTCCAACTCCTTTATTCATTTGCTGTATACAGGGACACAAAGCTTGGGCGGGCGGGAAGAGGGACAAGCCACGGATTGGACAAGTTCGGGATCCTTTTTGGCATATCGTAAAGCTAGCTAGTAAACTGGTACCGTGAAAAACAACTGATCACAGACAGACGCACCCATACACAGACACAGGAAAGTGCCCTTAAATCATAGTTTAGGCATTTATAAACTACAAACATTTTATAAAATTATTCTATGTACTTACAAAATGCAATGGAACATTGAATTAGTTCTTGTAAACCAGATCTTCGTCAACTGACTACCCGTAATCTACTGGACTTGAAGCCCTATTGAAAATGCTAATGGATTACTGATCAACAGAACACAGAGTAAAGGAAAGATGAGCACGCACACATAGGCACACACACAAACTCATGATAGTCTTCAGGTACTTGCAGAACAGACCAACTCTACAGATTCATACAGACTGATGACACCACCAACTATTAAACTCCTGGCAATCCATTTACCCTTCCAGATGGGAAGTCCAGAGGTTTAGTTACAAGTACCAACGATCAGAATTGTGATACCTGAGCTCCGATGCTGTCCCACAGATGAAGCTCAGGAAGCCACCTCAAACTTCTGCCAAGCCCTGTGTCTTTGTAAATACCCATTGCCACATCCTGCTTCCATGCCTCTCGGTTCTGATCTACCTGGCCGTGCTCAATTGCAGAGGCTGTTCATCTCTGAGCAACCAGTCTCTGAACCAAGGCATCCTTTGAAGCCCTCCTGCCTGTTCATAGTTCTGTATCTTCAGCACCCCTGGCCACTAGTGTTGTTTCTACACATCATTTTCAAATCCTTGTCTGCACAACTACTCGTGGGTTAAGTTGCAATATCTGGCTTTTATCACTGGTTAGTAAGGAGTGGATCCCTTGCACCTTCCTCCGCTGTTGTTCAGCCCAGTGATTAAATACATGGTTGACAAACAAAATAAGAATAACAGGAAACAAGTGTTACTTGTACTAATGGAATGAAAAGGGTTTAAAAAGATATATATCTATAATATAGATATACATATGCAGATATATATATATGTATATATAGATATATATGTATGGAGTTATACCAACAATAGGAGTGTTGTTCACTTAGACTCTGATTGTGCCCAACACCCCTCAGCAGTTCCCAGAGGACCCGCGAGCAGTCCCACCTGGTGACCAGTCGTCCTGGGCAAACTGGGCTTTCATGCCTTTGTCTTTCAAGACCAAGAGGAGCATCATCAGTGTGCACACCCCTAGAGCCATACATCGCTTTGAACCAGCATCAACGAGCAGAGGCATCGCACTGGGAGAGACTCGGTGCACACCGGCTGGCCTCGCGCTTCCCATCACGCTCGGCTTCCGCGGCTGCTTTATCACTCTCCTGAGAGAGCATCTTATTGAGTACCACGCAGCTGACACTTTTCTGTTCACGTGCCTTTGCAACCAAACCACCTTCTGTGCCACCGAGCAGCTGTTAAAATGCGAGTCAGGGGAGCACAACAGCCGAGCACCACACTCGGAGCCCCCGCTCCCCACAGCAACGCCAGTGCGTTACCCTGCTGCGTGAAAACATCTTGGTGCCGTCTGTCAAATGCTGGTTTTCAGGGCTGGGTGGGCTTTTGTTTGCAATTTATAAACAAACTGGATTACTTTCACTTTATTCAAACATAGCTGAAGTTCTAAATAAATTTTCCATACCAGACAAGCCAGTGGTCTCAGGGAAGAACAACATTACAAACCGTATTATGACTCTACCAAGCCAACATTAATTCTCAGTTGTTCACATGCACAAACAACTTGATTTACTGTCCAAGGGAAGTCTGCATGAAAAACCCATGTGAATAAAGCTATTCAAAACGCACAAAACACAACAACAACAACAAAAATAGGCTATGGAAACAAACAGAACAAAAAAGGAATTAAGCTTGAACTGCAAACACAGAACGCAATGGTATCATGAAGGTGGTTTGGTCCAGGAGAGCTGACTGTCATCACGCGTGTGGCCGTGATGTCGCGCGACTGTCTTCTACCGCAGTGCTTTTGGAAATGCTCATCGTGATGGGTGCTACGTCATTAGTGTTGCTTCCTAATGCATCTTAAAACCACCTACATACAATTACAAAAACCAGGAACTCGGACAGTTTTAACAAAACCCTCCTAGCCAGCTGAAAGATCTGAGGATCTCCAGTTGTGGTAATCAAATATGTGCAAGAGAGGGGAACAGCCACTGCACCAAAAGGTCACGGGAGCCTCCTGAAAAACAGAAAACCAACCCCAAACTGGTAAACCCACTAAATCTGGCTGGTTCCTTAGGGCTAGAAATGCTCCCTCCAAAGGCCAACTCTACAGTACTTAACCACAGCGCTGTGCATTCACACAAGGCTGGGTACAACTCTAGGAGTCAAGCACCACATTATTTAGATACCACAGCCAACACCTGCACCACCAGCTGCCTGAGCTGGAAAAAGAAACCTTATACATCAAGTTGATGGCAAGCTCGTGTTAGTCCTGTGTGTTTGTAAACCAGTGACACGCTGTCAGAGGGCGGTTAAAGTTTGATGGCTGGTCCATCAGAATCCACAGTTATCTGAAGCATATAAACAGGGGAGGAAAAGGGAACTGAGTTTTTACTGGCACGTTAAAAGACATCAATTCAATGTTAGTTTCAGGAAAAAAAAAATCATCAGTGCTCTCGTATCAAACAGAAGCAGCAAAGATCCAAAGCTGTAAACTCGATGTAGCAGTTATCACCAGGCAGCCTGGGGCAGGTTTTTTGGTCAAGCCAGCAATGCTGTTGCTGTAAGAGCCAATTCATTTTTAGGTGCTGATTCAGCCAAGTATCTTTTTGGTGCTTGTGGCATCTGAGGGAAATCCAGCAGGACTGAGCCCATTCTGCAGGACAAACAGCAAGACCATTCCCTTCACTGCACAATTATTCTGGGCCTTCAGACACTGTCATCAACCCATTTCTGTAACAGATTTCATCAAATACTCATAATTTGAAGTCCTCGTAGCAGGTCAGCTGTGTCTCTGCTCATCAAACCATGCAGCGTTTTGTTCCTGATTTGAGGACTGACAGGTTACCACGCTAAAAAGCCCTCATGTTTCCTTCAGGAATGGTCCCCTAAGGCAGACAGCCCTGGGATTCCTCCTCACAGTAATGAATGTGAGCCAAAAAACTGGAAACACTCCTTGGAATGGAGGCAAATGTTCAGAAGTGACCCTTTGTGACAGGCAGTGACTGTTCCCCTCCAGAACCTAGAGCATGTGGTATATGGAGTGAGAGGTTACCAGTATCAACGGCATTTATTGGCTGCTGAGACATGTGAGATGTATTCTTTTTTATATACACACATATAAAAAAATAAGAGTGAGGTAGATAAATGTTTGAAAAAAATCAAAACCTGTCCCCCTGTCATACTCAAAAACCCTTATCTCAGTATTTAGATTTATTATGGGGCATCTCTACAGTGATTTAAACTGATATCACAAAAATAAATAAAAAATCCTACATAGAATACCTTCTTAATTAACTTTTTTGTCTTTTTCATTTTTAAAGGGGAAAAAAATAACTATGGGACAGAGGCAAGAGAAGATAATGGGACCTAAACTACACAAGCAAAAAGCACTACAAACTTTTTCAAATCTCCAGTCAAAACTAGCAATCAGTCTACTTGAATTCTTTGTTCTTACTCAAAAGATTGAAGCGTTTCCATCCCAGAACCACCTCTTCACTGCCATCGTTTGGTTGGATCAGTGCTAAACAAAGGCTTAGATGCTGAAACAGACATTAAGAGGAGCAACGGGTATGACTCGGTGGTTGCAGACTTTCTGGTGGCCCCCTCCTTCCCCTGTCACCACGGCTTCTGCAACTGAACAAACAAGCTTACTCGTTTTCCTTTGTTCTGAGGTTTGGTCTATGATTTAAGCAACAAGCTTGTACTTGCACAGGTTTCCATAGCAGCCAACACTGAACTGTTTGCTAGCCAAGCCACTGGCCCCAGCTGCACTCTGCCCACCCAGCCCCACGGAAACAGCCTGCTGGGTTCCAGTTGGTTTCGGTGTTATTTCTCTTCCCTAGGGTGCAAAGTGCAGCCCCGGTGCCCTCCATGAGGGCTTCTTCATGGGGAAGGTGAAGAGCTGGGGCTTGCTGGAGCTTCAGTGGCCACCCTAAGGCTGCCTGGCACCACCAGCTGCAACTGGTCCGGCTCTTACTCACG